TTATAATATATATATATATATATATATATATATATATATAATACGATAATTTCTTAAACTGATAAATGGTCGAATAACTATAAATAATAGTGAAAAAAATCCCTCATAACACAAAAGAAAAAGAAAAAGATTCATCATAATAAATAAGAGGTAATAAATAATTATGTTTATATATATAAAATCTAATGTTTTGTAAGTCAATAGTTAATAAGAATATGAATCTGGTGTAAAATAAATGAGAATATAATTTATTTTGATTTAATAGTAATTAAAATATTAAATTTTCTAAATTATATAAAAGGTAATGTTTATAATTCAGAGTAAAATCTATAACTTTTGAAAAATCATTAAAACTTTCAAAGTATATATTTTTTTCCCAATTTTTTTCTTTTATTTTGTGAAATTAATTTAATGATTCAAGGAAGGGAAATAATTAGTGTAAACAAAAATAAAGAAAAATAATTATTCAATAAATAATAAGAATATGACTTATTATAATAATATTTTAGGATAAATAATTATAAATATTTTTGTTATAATATTTTTATAATATATATTATTTGAATTCATAAATGAAAATATTTAAATTTTTTACTAACGTCAATTACTACCATTTTAATTTTATCGATGCTAATAAAATGAGTATTTGATTGGAGATACTTGTAGGAGTGTTTATGGTTGGATTGGTTCGAGTTTGAGTGAAAATTTAATCTAAATTAATTAAATTTAATTGATTTAGATTGGTTTAGATTTCATAATTTTTTGTTTGTTTAACTTGAACCAATTTAATCCGATATTAATTGGGTTAGTTTGATTCAAATCATTGAATATCTTATGAATTTTTTAAAAAAATATTTTTTTTTCTCAAAGTAATAGATTTTCCAACAATAAAGGAAAATTGATATATTATTAAAATTTAACTATATTGATAGATTTGCAATATAGTTCCTCTTTATTTTTTTTCTTAATCTACTTAAGGATTTCAAGTGCACTACAATGTGTAAATATGACACTCAATATATTGTAATATAGTTTCTCTTGGTTTCTTTAAGCATTTGAGTAAAGGAATGAAAAAATTTGCATATTGTAACACAAAAACATCTTCAAAATATTCAAAAAATACATACATATTAATTGTTAACCAAATAAAAAATAATAATATATAAATTAACTAGTTTGGTTTGAGTTGGACCCAAACAAAAAAAAATCTAAACTAATTTAATTGGTTCGATTTAGATTGTCGGATTGATCTGATTTGATAAACACCTTTAGATACTTGTAATATGAAAAAATAAATGTAAATTCCAAAAAAAAAACTATCTAGCTACTCTAGTGTGAGAATGAACTAAAGAGAAATTTTAGTAATACATTATTTAACATACTCTTCTAAACACAATCTCTCTTGATTTGATTTCTATTTGTGTTAAAATAATGTTAGGTCAATAAAAGTCACGTCCCACAAGCACAGATTAATTTTTAGTTGTCAACTTTGGAACATTGCGTGAACCATGTCCATAAAAAAATCACAACCTCTCTAATTTGGTTGAAGTATATCTGAAAACACAAAATTTGATGGATCTCATACCCAGATTAATGATTATCTCTCTTTATTTTGTAGTTTTCAATAAATTCTAATTAATAAGAGTGCATGTTAGGAAGAGAGTATTGTTAACACTCGCAAAAACTCCATGCTTATGCTTATTACTTACTCTCCATGGATCTATATATAAGCAAAAAATACTTAAATTTTTTGAACTGAAATATAAACAAATTTAAATCAAGTTAATTTTATTTAACGTTCTTAATTCAAAAATATCTTATGGTAATAAATGAAAACATTATCTATCATAGATTGGTTAAAGATATTTAAGAAATGTAATATATTTTATGTGAAATTATGAAAATTAAATACATTTAATGAATCTTTTTAATCTATATAAAATGAATTTCTTTTATATATATATATAGGTTCAAACCAACTACTCCCTCTATTATTTATTATAAGAAAAAAATTGATTTTATGTATATTAAAAACATTGATTATTTGCATTAAATTTCATTATTTTCATAAGATTTTTTTTAAATTGTCCTTATTATAAATATTTTAAAAAGTAGTAAAATTCAAAGATCATACATTAAATGAGATATTTTAGAGAAAATATCAAGATGCAAAAATAGTTAAATTTATATATATTTTAAAAAAAAATTATAATATAACAAAATAAGTATTATTTAATATTTAGATGACAAAATATTAATCTTTAATTGTTAACTTTGAAATATTTAGTGATGATTTCTATGAAACAAAGGATTATTATTTTAGACCAGGAATGACGTAGCCGATGTGGCATCCTCTAGTCAACACTTGTAATTTTCCACTTATGGTCGATTTATATAAAGAGAAAGTGTGAGTTGTGAAAGAAGCGCCCTCCCCAAGAAGAGTATAGTCTGGTTCATCACCTAGTGGTCTCTCACAAACTAATCATCTCTCTTTTTTTTTCACACACGTTCATGGCTTCCTTCATCCAATCACCTTGGCAGGTTATCTCTCTTTCCTCCATTTATAACTTTAACTTTGCAATGTGCCCATTTCAAATTAAGCACCAGAGTTATCATAAGCTGGTTACACGCACCCCAGAAGTTTAAGGATTGAAAATTTATATGCATTTTTGTGATGCAACAATTAATGTCAACCTTGTTTCACAAAAATCAGAATTAGTGTTTGACTTTTACATTTTTTCTTTTCTTTTCTCCATTTTGTGGTTGCAGTTTCTGATCACACATTTCAGTGATTTCCAACTGGCCTGTCTGGGGACTTTCTTTCTGCATGAAGGCGTTTTCTTCTTATCTGGACTTCCTTACATGTGGCTAGAGAGGACAGGGTGGTTCAGCAAGTATAAGATTCAGGTTTTGTCTTGTTCTGCTATCTTTGAATTTTCTGGTTTTTGATTTTTTTTTTGTTGCTATTTTACTATGTAGCTTGCGTTGACAATTGACATGGTGGACATATTCACTAGGATGAGAGTTTGTTCTACATATCAATAATGTCTTTTTTCCTGTTTTTTATGGTCCAAAAATCAATTTTGTATTGGCTTTTAGGAGTGAAAGTTACATTCTGAGGATTTCAAAGGATTTGGATCCTCTCCCGAAAATGATGTTATTTTGTTTGGGAAAGAGAAAGAATTTTATCAAGTAGACCCTACAATCATTCATGGTGGGCCTTATTTGATTAAAAATGGTTTTGTTTTCTCTCTTCATCATGATCATGTGTTATTCAAAAACAGGAGATGATTCAAATGCCCTCTGGCTGGCCATTCCCTTTCATGTCATTTCTTCCTTATCTTTTTGTCCTTCATGGAAAGGATTCAAAGAATCCCTTGTGGTATATACATGTTTGTTTATGCTATGGTTGAATAATTGCATTGACTGGGAAACCCCCTGATGCTATCACCATAGAGTAAATTTCTCAAATTTTATTTGTAAACAATAAAAATGTAGAAGCTTGCTTTTATAATCACTTTTTCCACCATGATTCAAATGTGTGACAACTAGTATGCTGCTTATTAGTTCTGCTTTTCTTTGCCCATTTCCACCATTTGAAGCTTAGTCTTTTCATAGTGTGTTTTGGAACACATTCTACAGCCATCAAATCACATCCCTGATGCGAAAAACGGAAAAGCTAGAACTAGTATTGTTCATTTTGATGTGAAAAACTACGTCCATGATCGGTTTCCAAACACACAATTAGTGTGTTAAAGATTTATAACAGTCACTAATGCTTGCTTTCATGCAGGAGAAAAATAATAGCCCCGCAGCTCAGGAGAAATGTATCTCTCGCTTGATGTTGTATCATTTTGGTGTCAATCTACCAATTATGATCATTTCATATCCTATGTTTAAATACATGGGTATGCGGAGTAGTCTTCCATTGCCATCATGGTACTTAAAGAGTTATTTTAATTTCTATCATTGTTTCTAGACATTTGAGATGCATGAAAGCAGCAATGTGTGTGAACATTTCTCATATTTATTTCCATCAGGCTAACATGGCTAGATTTTATTTTTGTTTCTGTAGGAAAATCATTTTAACCCAAATAATCTACTACTTCATTTTGGAGGATTTTATATTCTACTGGGGACACAGGATACTGCACACAAAATGGTTGTACAAACATGTACACAGTGTTCACCATGAGTAAGAATTGTGTATTCTGGTTGATTTTCATTTATGCTTTTGAAGGTTTTGCTTTTGCTTACAGCTTCAAGTGGTTTTGCCATATGATGAAGGTATGCTACTCCATTTGGACTTAATTCTGAATATGCTCATCCCGCTGAGATACTTTTCCTTGGATTTGCTACCATTATTGGTCCGGCTCTCACCGGTCCACACTTGATAACTCTTTGGATATGGGTGTCTGTGAGAGTCTTGGAGACAGTTGAGGTGCATTGTGGTTACCATTTTCCATGGAGTCTTTCAAACTTCCTTCCATTATATGGAGGGTGAGTGTGATGTTCCTTCTCCCTTCACTTGACACCACCCACATGGTTTATTCCACCTTAGTTCTTGTAATTAAACTTTGCATCATTACTTTCAGAGCCGATTTTCATGACTATCATCACCGATTGCTGTACACAAAGTCTGGAAACTACTCGTCAACCTTTACTTACATGGACTGGTATGTATCAGACATATTTTGCTAAGAGCATTAGCCTTTTTGGTAAAAATCTGAGATGGCCTAATTGACATACATGAATTTTCTTGAACAAACTCTTCTTTTCAAATGTTCCACTAGTAATGCTGCCAGTAGTGTGTGATTTTCTGTTGTTTTTATTATACAGGATATTTGGAACTGATATAGGGTACAAAAAATTGAAAGCCTCCAAGAGAGCTGAACTTGAGCAAAAGAAACACTGATGTATCACATGTTTTGGAGGGTATCTAGAAAGATCAGAGAGTTACTGTTGAAATCCAATTTAATGGTATAATCGAAAATATAGTTTGTTCCATCATTGTCATATACTACATTTGGTTATGTTGTTGTTCTTGTATACAGAGTCGGGAAGGCTTTCTTTAGAGACATATGCCTTGTTTTTCAAACAAATATAATAAAGTTGTTTTCAATGGTTCATTTCTTATGTTATACTCAAACTTTCAATTTATTGGCAACTTGGTATTTCGTGGTTTTGCTTCAAAGTTCAAAGCAAGCATCATAAGCTTCTGTATACTTTATCTTAATTATTTGGCCTATTGGATAGTCAACATGGAACCTCATAATCAGAATTAACAAGTATAAAGGTTTAAGCAGCACAAAATGTAGAGAACTCATGCACTAAGACCATCCAACATATAGATGCTTAAGATATGTGTGGAAGATAGAGGAGTGTGTTAAGATTTTAACTTGGATTCATGAAATTCTTTATTTTAATTGAGGGATAAGATTTTACTGCACAAAAATGTTATATAACTCTAAGGCTCCAAATCTAACTTTATCAAACTATCTCTTATAAGATTAAAATTTATTGAAATTAAAAAAAATCAGGAGGGATTCATTAATTAACCCCTTGATTGGTAGAGAGGAAGGAAATAAAAGGAGAACGAGTAAAGAAAAGAAGTGAAGAGAAAATAAGCAAAAGATTGTTGGAACGTGAAACAAGAAAGCGAGAGAATACGTAAACGTGGAGAGAGAATACGTGAACGTGGAGAGAGAGGATGTTTTGTTTGCATGTGTATTTCTTTATTATACAAATGGGTCTATTTATATATGATCTGAATTAAATTTCAACATTCTCTCTTAATTCAGATTTTCTCAATATCACGAACTTTCAACTTATCTCTTAAAACTCCAAACCTTTCTCCCTTCGTAGCTTTAGTGAACATGTCTGCCACTTGATCCTGAGTGTTGCAGTACACAAGCTCCAACTTCCCTTCATTCACTTTGTCTCTCAAGTAATGGAACTTGGTTTCAATATGCTTACTTCTTCCATGAGTTACCGGGTTCTTTGACAGGCTTATCACTGACTTGTTGTCGATGAACAACTTCACTCCTTCATCACGTTTCTGCTTCAACTCAATTAGTAGTTTGTCTAACCATGCAGCCTGACATGCACACATGGCAGCAACTATATACTCCACTTCACAAGTGGACAAAGCCACCACAGATTCCTTCTTCGAGCTCCACGAGATAGGCGCTCCTTCAACAAAGAATACAAAACCAGCTGTACTCCTACGATCATCCTTGTCTGCCCCCCAGTCCGCATCCGTGAACCCAGCAACCTCAATTTTGTCAGTCGTGGTGTTGTTCTGTGGGAACAAGATACCACTTGACATGGTTCCTTTGAAGTACCTGAGGATCCGTTTAGCAACAAGAAGATGAGGTGCCCTAGGATTCTGCATAAATCGTGACACAACTCCGACAGAGAATTCTATGTCCGGACGTGTGTGACAAAGGTACCGTAAAGATCCCACAATTTTCTTATACACAGTTTCATCAACAGGTTCTTCGGTCCCTTCCTTCTCCAAAATCAAACCGGTCTTAGATGGAGTAGGCGCTGGATTGCAGTTCAGCATGTTGAATCTTTTCAACACTTCCATTGCATACCGCTTCTGATGCATCATCAAACCTTCTTTTACCTTTACGAATTCAAATCCTAGGAAGTACGACAACTTTCCTGGGTATGTCATTTCAAACTCATGCATCAATTCTCTCTTAATGACCTCAACATCTCCAATATGATTTCCTGTAATTAGAAGATCATCCACGTACAAACACACTATGACCAAGTGTTGTTTTTGGCGAACATATACTCCAAATTCACAGGTGCATTTGATGAATCCAAGCTGTAACATGTATGCGTCAATCCTTCGATTCCATGCTCTCGGCGCTTGCTTGAGTCCATAGAGAGCTCTCTTCAGTTTGTACACCTTAGTTTCTTGTTCTTTAATTTCGAACCCAGGAGGCTGTGATACGTAAACTTCTTTGTCTAGAGGTCCATTCAAAAAGGCGGATTTTACATCCAACTGATACATGATCCATCCTTTTGAATTGGCAATGGCGACCACGATTCTTATCGTTTCAATCCGAGCCACTGATGCAAACACTTCCTTATAGTCGATGTCAGGTTTTTGAAGAAAGCCACATACCACTAACCTCGCTTTATGCTTCACTACCTTTCCTGTGGGATCGGTTTTGGTCTTAAAGACCCACCTTAGACTTATTGGTCTCTTGGCCTTTGGAAGAGTCACTAGTTCCCACACTTGGTTCTTCTCAATGGATCGAAGCTCATCCTTCATCGCATCAACCCATTTGCTGTTCAAAATGGCTTCTTCAAAGGTGACTGGTTCAGTTTCAAAGAATAGAGCAAAGTGAACAATATCTTCGTCTTCATTTACATCAGCATCATAAATCATTTCAAAACCTTTGAGTCTCCCTGAAATACGAGTATCTCTTTGAGATCTTCTAAGAGCATTGGACGTACATGCTCCTCCCGATTCTTCATTTTGATCTTCATTAGTTTCAGCATCCACAGACTCAATGATTACCTGACTATATTGTTCATCCTTGTTTGACTCCGAGTTCCATCCCTTTGACTCATCAAACATCACGTCCCTACTCACCATAATTTGCTTGCTAATGGGATTGAACAGCTTGTATCCACCCGTTGGATGATATCCCAACAGTATCATCTTCTCACCTTTGTCGTCTAGCTTTCTTCTCAATTGTTCATGAACGTGTTTGTAACCTATTGATCCAAACACTCTTAGGTGGCTCACGTCTAGCTTGTTGTTCGACCAAACCTCTTCTGGAGTAACTCCCTCCAGCCTCTTCGAAGGGCATCTATTTAGGATGTAAGCAGCGGTTGACGCAGCCTCCCCCCACAAATACTTAGGAAATTGTTTTTCTTTTAACATGCTACGTACCATGTTCATGATGGTTCGGTTCTTTCTTTCAGGAGTTCCATTGTGTTATGGTGTGTATGGAGGCGTGACTTGATGCTCGATTCCTTCCTTTTCACAAAACCTCTCAAATTCTCTGGACGTATATTCACCTCCACCGTCGGTCCTCAATACTTTGATCAACTGGCCACTACTTCGTTCCATCATGACTTTGAATTTTTGAAACACTTCTACACTTCACTCTTTCTTTTGATCAAATATACCCATAGCTTTCTGGAGAAGTCGTCTATGAAAGAGATGAAATATTTATTACCTTCAAGGGACTTAGTTTGAATAGGACCGCAAACATCAGAGTAGACGACTTGTAGCCTTTCTTTAGTTTTGGATGAAACATGTTGTTGAAAGGAGTTCCTCGGCTATTTAGACTCCATGCAATCACTACACACTTCATTGGGTGGAGATATATGGGGTAAGCCTCGCACCATGTCTTTGGATTTCAGGTTCTGCAAATCTCTGAAGTTGAGGTGTCCAAGACGGTAATGCCAAAGCCATTCCTCCTTCTTTACCACAACTGCAAGACATTCTTCATCTACTACATCAATCTCTACTTTGAAGGTTTGGTTCTTCGTAAGGGGTGACTTCAGTATCAGGTGATTTTTCTTATCGTACACCCTGAGCATCTTTTTTCCAATCTAGAGGTGTATCCTTTCTCCAGTAATTAGCCTAGGCTTAACAGGTTGCTCTTCATTCCAGGGACGAATAAGACATATGTAATGAGAACTTGGTTGTCATTCTTCTTCTTTACCATGATCTTTCCAATCCCTTATGCCTTTAGAACGCGAGCATCTACGAACTTCACCTTGCTTTTAATTGATTCGTCGAGGCTTGCGAACCAGTCCTTCCTTCCTGTCATGTGTGTTGAGCATCCCGTGTCAAGATACCAACTATTATCTTCTAGACCTTCTGCTTGGACAGTGGTTGCCATTAACAGAACTTGTTTTGAGTCGTTGTCCTCCTCATGAGTTATTTGGGCTTCGTCTCTTCTTGGATTATAGTGCCTGCAATACTTGGAAATATGACCCATCTTATTACAATTGTAACACTTTACCTTTTTTATGTTAGGATTACGTCCCTTCCCTTTCTGAGGTGCAACTTTATGCTTGTTGTCTTGAATCTCGTTCACGTCCTCACTATTCACTTCTTGCCTCCATTTTCCTTTGTTCTTGGGTTTCTTCTTGAACGTCGGATTTATGTTAGTCTGTGCTTGGAGAGCTTGCTCATTCTTTCGCTCCTCTCCCCTTTCGATCAACCTTAGTTCGTGTGACTCCAAAGAGCCTTGAAGCTCATCAAGACTCATGTCTTCAAGGTTCTTTGACTCTTCTATTGCCACTACTATGTGATCAAACTTCATGGGTAGTGTGCGTAGCACCTTCTCAATCACTTGTAGCTCAGCCATCTTTTCTCCAAGGCCCTTCATCGTGTTCACCATCGTTTGAACACGAGTGATGTAGTCAACCACTGTCTCGTTGCTTTCCATTGATAGAAGCTCGTATTGACGTTGCAGCATTTGAAGCCTCACCTTCTTGATCTTCGTTGCACCACCTGGACCCTTTCAAGAATCTCCCAAGCCTCCTTGGATGTCTATGCTTTCGAGATTTTTTCAAAATTTGCTGCATCAACACTTTAATGCAAGATGTACAAGGCCTTGCAATCTTTCCTTTCGATCTCCTTATCTGCAGCCTTTTGGGCTTCTGTTCCACTTGCACCAGCCAACTTGCAACCTTCTTCAACAAGGTTCCATACCCCTTGAAACCTCAAGATCACTCTTATCTGAATTTTCCAATTATCATAATTCTTCGTCGTGAGAATTGGAAGATTGGTGGGGATCGAAGTAAGTGATATAGCCATAAATTTCTATGGCAGTTGACCCTTCGAACCTGCGCTCTAATACCAATTGTTGGAACGTGAAACAAGAAAGCGAGAAAATACGTAAACGTGGAGAGAGAGGATATTTTGTTTGCATGTATATTTCTTTATTATACAAATGAGTCTATTTATATATGATCTGAATTACATTTCAACAAAGATAGAGTGAAAATAGAGGCAGAATAGTAAGAGAGTAGAGTAAAAATTAATTTTTTGAAAGGTTATTTTGCTTAGAAAGGTTATAAATTAATATTTGTTAAATCTAACTATTATTATATTTGATTTTTAAATTGTAGG